GCGCTCTTGACTGTGGGGCGGTTCGGCAACAACAACAACGAGCCAATAATTATAGATTTGACAATAAGTCTGTAATTAATTACGGAGCGGGGCCGCGGCGGCGCCGCCATGTGGCGCAACGAATCACTATTAACATTAAATACGGCCTATTTGCGACTGACGCAACGGACGGCGCGGCCGGATGAGCGCGCCGCGGCGGCTGGAGGCAGCGGCCAGGCCAGTGCCGTTTGGAGTCCGTGTGAGCCTCAAAGTATGGGCCCTCCTCGGGGCACTCCCTGGAGGCTCTAGAGCCAAAGTGGGTCCTCACTGGCGACTTCTAGAGCGCTCGCCCTGGAACCAGAGAGGGCCCTCCTCACTGGAGGCTCTGTGGAGTCCAAGTGGAAAGTGGAAAGTGGGCCCTCGTTTGGAGACTTTGGAGCCAAAGTGGACTCTGACTGGAGGCTCTGGAGTCCAAGAGGGCCCTGCATGGAGACTCTTTGAGACCCTGGAGTGTAAATGGGCCCTCACTGAATGATCTAGAGGCAAGTTCCATGTGCCCACCCTGGAGGCTCTGCAGTCTAAAGTGGGCCCCTCTTTGGAGCTGATCATTTTACTTTCCTTCCCCCTGCGGGCCCCTCTCCTTTGCTTGCCCCCGGCCAACACCCCAGGACAGACCGGCCGGCGACACATATTTGCACACGCTCCGACTACTCAGGATCATACGAGCAGGAGGTGCGGATGGGGCAAAAGGCCATGGGCGGGGGATGGAGGCGAGATCTTGGCTCGCTTTATTGCAACACACTCCAACTTCTGCGGCTAAATATTTGTCAAAATAAAGGCTAACGCTGCAGTGTTTTGGGTTTGCCTACTGCCTAGGCGCCGTGCCGTGGCCCCAGCATGCCCCCTACAAGGTGAGTGTTCTACGCCGGACTTTTTGCTGGCTATACTGTACCGCGTAGGTGTGCACGCGGGTTGCATACTCGCACGGGGCCATAAAGCGCTGTGCTGGGAGAGTCATGGTGAGCAAAGCCCACTCGCACGGCACGCGTGCGTGCGGTATGTACAGTATCGACACAATTATGGAGAAAAAGAGCTCTGATTGGCTCCCGGAGGTCCCGCGGAGCAGGGCGCTTGTGGCAGAAGGGCGGGGCGAGAGAGGGGCGGGCTCACAAGGGCGGAGCCTCGCGGGGAGCGGCGCGGGGGCGGCGCGGGGGACGCGAAGGGCGGCCGTGTCTCACGGTGCGCGACGCGCCGTGCACCGGCCCCCGCGCCGCCCCCCGCTTCTGCACACTCATTACATAAACAGGTGGGCCAGGTGAGCACAGGTGAGTCACCACGAGGCAGGTGAGTGAGCGAGTGCGTGGCCCCCCGAGGCTCACCGGGTGAGCTGTCCCCCCGTGCCAGCAGTATATGAACCCCTCCCTTCTTGTGCTGTTTGCACCGAGCGTTTGCTAACGAAGCCACTCATCGCATCTCGATATGCCCGTACGACGGTAGTCGCATTTTCTCGATCCCCGTAGCGTATGACACAACCGTGACACATCCGCCGCACAACCGTGATTAGCCGGATGACTAACGATTTAGCTATATAGCTAATTTTGCCCATGTAGCTGTGAGTTAAACTTTAACTATGAAAAGCGAAACATTAGTTGTGTAGCTAAAAACATGTAGCCCTGATGCAAAATATTTAGGTGCACGGCTAATTTTAGCTAGCAGCGGCATAGCAAAATAATTAGCCAACACGTATTTAGCTTTCACATTTAGAATCCCAAAAAATGATTAGATTGATCTTTTCGACGAAAAGGGACGCCCGGGACACAGAACGCGCAGAACCGAGCAGAGATAAAAAGCAGTCTCATCGGCATCGGCATCTTTAAATTCCGCCCTCATATTATTTTCGTTAGTTTTTTTGTTTTATTTTATTTTTCCTCAAGGAGGAGATCACGCGACCGTCGCGAGATATGCGCATGCTTGATAGCAGGTGTGTGCACTTGCAGCGCGGCGGC